AACATGTTTTTATTTTGTTACTAATGTATTTAATTATCCTGCAATCAGAGTTCACTACATTTCTTAATCTTTCTGATTTTTTCTGACCCAAATAAAATAAGACATATTAAGTTTCTCTGCTTTAGTAGTGCACCTAACAATTATTTTAATAACTGATAAATATGGCAATTATTTTTTGATTAATATTGATCGTTTGGTCAATAAAATGTCAGAAAACAGTAAAATTATGAAATGAATGAATGAACCTACAATTATTTATATATATATATATATTTCAGCTCTTGTCTGTTTTGAGTCCTGAGTTTTCCAGAATTAAAGCTTCTTAATCATTTTCCCACATTTACACATAAAATCTCAATATAAAGATATTTAGGTATTTACTATATATAATATAGTAGGACCTTATATAATAATCTTGCATAAATATATACAAGAACCTACTCACACCTCTCTTCCAACTTGTGTTGATTATCACATCTTTTTCTCTCAGTAATTAACGCAACCAAATGGCTGTTTCTTCAACCAGTTCTGTATTTAGCAACCGTAAAAGACATGTTGTTCATTAATATTAAAGCAATGATTGTCTCAAACAAAGCATTAATCTCCAAGGCATACTTTTATTCTGCAGAACTTTTACTTCCCAGTACTGAGAGAAGCAAAGTGTACCCTTAGATCTACAGTACATAATAATGTTTCAATACAACAAGGATTTGCAAACAATGCCCCCTAACTTGGTCTGAGGCTGTTTTTCATGGTTTGGGCTAGGCCCCTTAGGTACAGTCATGACCTTTACACAAAACTGTGTTTCCAAGTTTGTGGCAACAGTTTAGGGAGAAACCTTTTCTGAAAATTCCCCGGGCCTGCACACAAAGTCAGGTCTGTATAGAAATCAAGAGAGGGGTTTGTTGGTGAAGAACTTAACCTGGCCCGCAGAGCTCTGACCTGATACTTTTGGGAAGAAGTTGAACGCAGACTGCTAGCAGGGCCTTGTCACTCAGCATCAGTAAGGCTCTTGTGGCTGAATGGGAGCAAATCCCTACAGCCAGGTTTCACAACCTTGTGGTGAACCGTCCTAGAAGAGTGGAGGCCATCATAACTACAAATTTATTATTTATTTCCATTATTTGGAATGTGATGGTCGGCGATCAGTGCGTGATATATTGGTGTCCACATACTTTCGGATATGATGTATACAGTATACGTTAATTTATTTAACTTATTTTTCATCAACTTTAACTAAACAGATTGCTTCCTCTTTATGTTTAATTGATGATCTGTTGTTTTTTTTACTGTATGATTGTATCTTTGTATGTTAGATGTAGTTATTTTAGCTAATTCAACTGTGATTTAGTTTAGTTTAGTTTATCTTTAAATACTCCCACACTCCAGCTGTATACATGTGGAATTGAAGCTTAATGTCAATCACATTTTTCTCACTGTGTATCTTTGAAAACATGTGCCTCTGTTTAAATTATATACTATTATGGGTGAGGTTTGCAACTCTTCGCAGTTTCATTGTTCTCATAATTCATTATCTCACTGTTATTTCATGAAAAAGACATTCCTATTGATTCACAAACGCTTGAGGCTTAGGGCGGCGTAACCAGCATGACAATTAAATAAAAGACCAGAACACCAGAGTCAACCACTGGCTTTTATTCTCATTCATGTTTTTAAACTGACTGAAAGCACCCGACTCCCGCCCCAGGCAAGAGTAGTAGTATGTGTGAAGTGAATTGTGGGCTACAGAGTATCATTTATCATTTTAAAATCTTATGTTTCACTTCTAATTATTTATTTATTTTTTATTCAATACAGGTAAAATATTACATACAGTCACATGGCAATATAACCTCACAAAATCAATCAACAAAAAAAGAAAAGAAAGTAAATGAAAATACAAAAAGAAATAGTTAGTAGGATTGTTTCAGTAATTCAAATTAGATTGACAGCACCACTACATTTAGGAAGAAACTGAAATATACATACTTTATATAGTCCCACTCTTCACTAGAGAAATCTTTCCAACATTTCATATTTGTTGTGGTACTTTGTTATAGTAGTAATAATAGTTTGTAATTGTAGCAGTTACTGTATTTAATAATTGCTTAGCAAAGTATTTTTTAAATAAAGAACTTCAGATTGTTCTCATTCTTGTTCTCATTTGAGCTTTAAATATAAATGTTTTATCTAACAAAAGTTTTAAGTTTATTCATTTAAAAGGGGATAATGCATATTAATTGAAATGAAGACTATAGTCCACTATTAAAATGTACCAGATTTAGGCATACAGGCTCATTTTCATCTGCAGTCACTGCCAAGTTGATGACATTTCAGAAACATCAAAAGAAAACATACAAAAGCCCATAAGCACAGATAAAAGCCCATAAACACAGAGCACATGAGCATAGAAACTCACAAAAGTACAGAGCATATAAACACAGATAAAATCCCATAAACACAGACAATAGTAACAAAATGGATATATTAATGTCTCTTATATGTCATAACCATATAACACATAAAGGACATTACAGAACATATTTCATGTAGAACCCCATTATAATGTCACTGCTAGATCTTTGGGCCACATAAAAGTGCAAAATATGTGCCTCCTCTCTGTCTGCAGAGGGCACCAGACCCCAACACTCGACCAAACCCTGAAATTCTCACAGGCCTCTATATCCAGACTCTGTCTCTATGGTGTGCAAACGTTATCTGCCTTGATGAAGATGTATAATGCAAAAAAATGTTAAAATATATAAATGAAGAGAGGAACAAAGAAAATAAAGTGTTTAAAGTGAGTTCTCAATGGTGAGCACATATTTTCAATACATTTTTTAAATCAAATCTGATGGCTCGTACAACAGGCCTTAAAAACAAACTTGTCAATAAATAACAACAAGGGTTTCATAGTGTACAGACTACGCATCAAACTCACATTCTTGTTAATGTCTGAGTTGTAGCTCAGGAGGTCTGTCCACAAGGGAGAGGCGGTTTTAGTCATCCCTCTCCTTCAGAATCTCCCTGTGGTCGTGTCCGATTGAAACATGTCAGCCATACAGATGAATGAGAGCAACAATCTTCTTTTGTCACTAATGAGGATCCCTGCAGTGGGATGGTACTCTGGGCTTATGAGTAACAGCGCTCCCAAAACTCATTTACCATAAGAACTTTGGATCATTTTTTAGTTGGGATTTTGCATCCCTAGGTAGAGAGAGATAGATAGGTAACCTGTATCCCCGTTGCCTTGTTTGTTTGTTTGTTGCTGTCACGATGGCTGACTGTATTGATTTTGTCTTTCAGCTTATTATCAGTAGTGTTACTTAATTTTTTTATATATATATCAGGGGTGGCTTAAATCAGTTTACTTGTTTTTTTTGTGATCTGTGTGTAATCTTTTTTGTGGTGGGGCCCTGGAGTTATTTCAAGTTTTAGCTTCACTTTATATTTTATTTACATATTGGATATATTCCTAAATTAGTTTGGATTTGATATAATTCCTATAAACTTTACCTGACACACAGTGCAATAAACGTGGGGGGTAAGTAAATAAGAAAGTGTATTAATAGAGAATATTTCTTGAGCAAACATCATAAAGTGGTTTACAATAAAGAACCAAAGAAAGACATAAAATACAGATACAATATAGTGGTCAAAAAAAGATTCAAAAAGAAGAAAAAAGCAGGTACTAAATGGGTGATTTTTATTTAAAGTGTCCACTGTGTTCACAGTTTAGAAGCCACAACAAACACAGACATGATGAGGCCTGCAGCCTGCAGTAGATGTCTAATGTAAGCAGATCAGATGTCTGACTATGCAGAGGTATTAAAGTGATCAGAAGGATTTAAGATTGGATTTTGACACAAGAAACACATACAAACTGTTACTGCATGCAGCCCTAACCTCATCTTTTACTTCTCACTAAAAACAAAAAGGACTTATCCACAGAACATAAAATATAAAATATAAAAACTGCAACATATTTGCTTTAAATCACAGATGCTGCCTGAGAGTACAGTTTACAGACATCTTGCAGACAGTGGATGGTATAGGCTCTACAGTATGTGGATGGTCATTTGCTCAGACTTTTGCAGGGATGGTCAGCGTGATGGTGACTGTGACCATCTGCTGAGAGAGGAGCACAGAAACAGAAAGTCACAGTCTGTCTCTCACGCCCTCCTCATCCACACATTCTCCAAAACGATGATATCATTTTAACTGACAGCTGATTACAGTTTTATGTTGCCATTTGCTTGTAACTGAATTTGTGTGGTGAGACTTGATCAGTGCCTACAGGCCATACATTCTGATAATTCACTCTTTATGAAGGGTATACATCAAGGGTGTATACCAATTGCTTTATAAATGATTATCAAATGTTTAATAGACTAATGCTAACTCAGTAATAATAAGAATTTGAGGTTATCGGGGTGTGGCTGATGTTTATTCACCTCAAACACAAGACAGTCTTTAAAGTGTTTATTAACAGTTTATTAACATTTATGAGTGCAGATAGATTGTTTTAACAGCCCTTTATTAAATAATGACTTTTATAGTTACAGATACTGACTTATGTTTACTGTTGGCTTATTAAAATGTCAGAAACTCATAATGACACTTTAATAATGATTTTATTCATGATGTTCTTATTAATGGCTATTAAGTCATCTATGCAGTATTAGTAAATTAGTTCTATTTAATAACCACAACTTTTGGACGACTTTTTTGACTATTTATTCATGTATCATTTTTTTATATTATTTGTTGTCGCCTGTTAAATAACAATAAAGGCTACTTATTTAAGGTCCATGCTTGTAATATTCTGATCATTTATATTTTGTTTGGCAAATCCCCATTAATTAATTAAAAAAAAAACATGTAAGTTTCCATAGACACATTAAAAAAACAAAAAAAACAATAACAAACTGATTTATCGACAGAGCTCATGTGAGTCCTGTCAACAGACCTGTATTCTCGTGATCTCTCGCGATGGTTCACACGCTGCTGAGCTGATCGGTGGGCGGAGCTGCTGGCTGAGTCGGGCTGCTGCGTGGGGAAGTGGACCGCTGCAAGCAGAAGCAAGGTCAGCAAACTGTCTTTCAGCAGTTTAGACACATTTTTGGGATTAAAGTCGATTCATTTAAAGTAAGCGCCCTCCTCTCGCTGCACCTCCGAGTTTACTGCACGTTGTTTATTCGGCTGATGTCAACTAGTTTGTTTAGTGCTGTACAAAAACGTTGTGCTTTGTAAATAAACCAGAATGTTGCAGCAATTCCTGATGTGTTTTTTTTTTGCAAAACCGAGCATGTAGCTAGGAATGGAGGACGTAAGGTCCTACACAGACCCGTATAGTTTCAATAAGGATCAGGTCTTGCACTGTGCAGTCCAAAGGTCTCAGTCCTGCATGCACTGTTAATGTTAAGTCAACCTGGTCAATGAGTTCCCAGGTCGTCTTTTAGCAAACACTCTCCTGTCTGATCTGTAATAATGTTGCACATTATAAATGCATTAATAATATATAATATGTGTCCTTTCAGGTTGTTGGAAACCCCTGAACACCAATCATGTCACAGTTGAGTGGGAAGGTCCAGACCGTCCTGGGTCTGGTGGATCCGGACCAGCTTGGCCGCACCATGACCCACGAGCACCTGACCATGAGCTTTGAGTGCTGCTACTTCCCTCCTCCTCCAGGCGACGAGGCCGTGGCGGAGAACCCGTTCAAGATGCAGCACATGCACTGGCTGAGACAGAACCCCTACAGCTGCCACGAGAACCTGCTGCTGCTGCAGGAGACCAGCGCTGTGCGGGATGAGCTGCTGGCCTACAGGAAGGCGGGCGGGGGCACCATAGTGGAGAACACCACCACGGGCATCGACCGGGACCTACCCACCCTCAGGCAGCTGGCCAAGGACACCGGGGTCCACGTTGTTGCTGGAGCAGGGTACTATGTGGACAGCACCCACACCGAGGCCACCAAGAGAATGAGTGTGGAGAAGGTGTGGCCCAGTCTGACAACGGGTGCAGCCCAGTTTGAACTAACATTAAACAATTTGAACTAAATTATTGTGGAAACTTTATGAGTGTGTGTGTCTGGAATTTGCTACCGGTACTGTATGACTCAATCAGACAGGAAGAACGCCCTCATCAGTTTGTTGTGCTGACGTTTTGACATTTCACTCATTCTCTCAGCACGTTCTGTGTTTATTTGAAAGGAAGTCTTCTGTATCTTTTGATTGATTGGAACGGGTTTATGGATTCTCTATCTAGTCCTCTAGTTGTGACACATAGAGACAGTGCATGTACTCTCTATGGATGTTTAGATATTATCATTTAAACCCATCATTTGCCTCTAAAGGGACAAAACTCAGTAATCAGAATAAGCTATTTTAATGCACTAATAAGTCAGTAACAAGTTCTTCATTTCCTGCCCGTCAGCTCACAGACATCATTGTCAGCGAGGTGCTTCACGGTGCAGACGGCACAGACATCCGCTGTGGCGTGATCGGAGAGATCGGCACCGGCTGGCCCATTACAGAGAGTGAGACGAAGGTGCTGAAGGCCACGGCTCACGCTCAGACGCAGCTCGGCTGTCCCGTCATCATCCATCCCGGGAGGAACCCTGTTGCTCCGGCTGAAGTCGTCCGGATCCTTCAGGAGGCCGGTGGTGATATCAGCAAAACTGTCATGTCACATCTGGACAGGTGATAAGTCTCTGGAAGGTGTTAGCTGAAGGATGACATCATCTTTTGACAGTTTTATTAGCCTTTTTAGATATCAACCTTTTATTAGTCACATGCAGTCACTGCATATTTTCCTCAGAGATCATTTTATTGTTGACTATAATCATAGTAATGTGTCACAGTTATTGTCTTATATTGTATTAGTGGTAGAGTCTACAGACATATAGCTGAAGCCAGGCAGGTGTTTCTGCGTTGTAGATGGAAACCTTTCAGGCCCTTTCATCATATAGCTCATTGTCAGTGATAACAAACCAAACTTTAAAGACATATAGGAGCTCAAATAGGAGGTATTTTTGGAGGGCTTTTTTACCTTTATTTTATACAGCCGAAGATGGATGGGAAAGGGAGAGAGAGAGGGGTAGACAGATAGAGGGAGGAAGACATGCAGCCAGGCCGCTGTGGTAAGGCCATGGTAGATGGGGCGTGCACTCTACAGGGATGGCCAGAGCTCATTATTTAAAATAAAATGTATCAGTGTGTATTCAGATGATCAATAAATGTGGGGAGAAAGTCAAAAAATACATAGGTGAAAATCTCATTTAGTAGCGCAAACAACTCTTTTCTTTTTGTTTGCTTTTAGAGGGAATCTGGTACATAATCATTTTATCCTCATTTGTTTCTTTAAGGTTAGGGTTAGAAAGTCTTGTTTAGAGTAAAAAGCAGTGGTCAGTGTCTTCTTGCAGCAGGAAACACAATTTCATTGGAGTCTGTGTGAAAATCAGTTTAAACTGATCTGCTTTTCAGGGTGGTGAAAATAAGTGAAAACTGAAAAGACAACCCTTATAACAGACCAACTTTTCTGATTTCTAATGTCACACGCTGTTTTTACCTTCATTCAAAACATTCATCTAAGAAGGACGAAAGAAAGGTGGGGATGCATATTGGTTCCAAGTATCTGTTACTGGTCTCCTTGATTTCTAAAAATCTGTATCAGCCCTGAAAAACACATATCGTTCGACCCATATTACTCACTGCTGTGTTGTTACGCTCCACTCTAGCATGTTTCACCTTCATTTCAATAACCTTCCGCTCTCTTCCTGCAGGACTATATTTGATGATGGTGAACTGCTCGAATTTGCGAAGCTGGGGAGTTATCTGGAGTATGATCTGTTTGGAACGGAGATGCTGAACTACCCGTATAACCTTGAGGTGGACATGCCCAGCGACAGCCAGAGAGTTAAAGCGTAAGTGGTTAGACGTGTCAGGAGCGAATCTTAAGTTGGACCACATTGTCAACACTTAAGATTTTAATATGACCTTAGTGTTCAAATTTCCTTTTCTTTTAGAGAATCCCTTAATATATTAATGTATCGTGTATCAGTAAAGTCATGTGTTTAAGGTAAAGTATATCATTTAGAGCAAAATGCTGCGTTTGTGTTTTAGTCCCCTTGGAGAGATGAGTGTGTCCTCCAGTTTCTCCCAGAAACTGAGACACACCAATCTCCTTCTACAGCGGAGGGAAGAGCGTGTGTCAACAGGAGGAGTGATGAATGAGTGATGTTGCTCTCAAAATTCAGGCCACATACAAAAGACAGGTTCAACAACACATGAAGGCAGATTGACGATTACAGTTTAACTAAACACGGTCAGTTTTGTGATGTTTAAGGCCCCCCTCGTTTTTCACGTTTCTCTGTTCATGCTCAGCTTGGCGTTCCTTGTGAAGGAGGGCTACGAGGACAATATAGTGGTCGCACACGACATCCACACCAAGAACCGTCTCACCAAGTACGGCGGTCACGGTTACTCTCACATCCTGAAGAACATTGTGCCGAAGATGCTGATGAGGGGCATCTCGCAGCACCAGGTGGATAAGATCCTCATCGACAACCCGAAACGCTGGCTGACCTTTAAATAAAGCATGAACAGAGACCCAAAGAAGGTGTTTTGATGTAGCGATTATTTTATCTTCAGATGATTACTGAACACCCCACAATGAATAATTTGAGATCTTTGCAATAATCACAGTCCAAACTCTTTTATAAATGTTCTTTTGGACCCGCAAACCAATGAGCTTTCGGTGTTTGGGCATGAATTTGTCTTCAATGGGCTTACATTTTTCAGCATAGCAAAATGTTCTATCACTTTGTCTTTCCAATGGAAAATAATTACAAGCCGTTGTTTCATCCAGCTGAAAGAGCTTTTATACAGGCCGTCATTAATTAAAACTTGATTTTATATTTGCGATTATACATTATTCACTTTGAATGCAAATTATATAAAGGAGAATGCAGGTGCCTCTAATAAGCAGTCATGTTTTGTCACAAAAATAGCTTTTTCATGTCTGCAGAAATGTGAAAAGAAATATTTTCTTTTATGTCGAGGTATTGCCTACAGTTGTGCTCGCTAATATGGTGCTAATTGATTTTTTCCAGAGTCAATGTCACCGTTTCTTTTGTATTTGTAAGCGACATTTGGAAACATGTTTTTATGAGTTGAAAATAACAAGCGTGTTAGTAATCAGTATGCTGCTCTGCTCTTGTCACAATGCGGCTGTGTTAGATGAGTTGTCCTGTTGCCCCTCAGTGGGTGTCTGGGTGTCTATAGGAGGCTGACTGGCTGGCAGGCCCCGATGAAGGACATGTTCTCCTCTCATCTGGGAACAGGTGGCCTCACAGGGTGACTTCACCACATGATCAATGGCATGATCGCCACAGCTGACTGTTCACCATGAACAACTACATAACTTTGATTTATCTTCAGAGAGGATTAGAGAGCGAGCCAGAGGACTTAATTGTACATTATATTTTACACATTGGCTGACAGTGTTATCTGGAGGGGCTTAACAGTCAGCAAGCAGATCATCGTCAAGCTCGAGGAAACATTTCTGTCAGTGTGACTGTCCAGTTTGTGATGGTGACTAACCACCAGGCCACCCCGTGGCCCCAACCAGCTGTCATATTGAGACAAGAAAAATTCAATTCAAATTCAAATTCAATATGAGCATCAGAATGGCCCTTTTTACAGATTTTGTTCCTCTTTAAAGTGTTGAAATATTATTTTTTTATAATCATGCATCACCACAGCTTTTACATTTTCACGTAAAAATGCAACAACCATCAAATATTTTTGAAAAATAAAGCACACACGTGGACTGTGAACACTGTGAACAGAGTGGTGACTATGTGAGTATAATTTAAGCATCTATAATTGAGTGCTAAATGTCAATACATTGAACTTTCAGTCTAGAATCACTCAGTATATGTTAACGGCAGCTACAGTATGTTTGACATATCAGCAAACTTAATTTGTAAAGCTAAACAGTTCATTCAGGGTGCAATAGCGACACTAATTAATCGAACAAGGGGTACAATTCAATGCTGTACACTTTAAAATTCATTATTCTGTAAATACACTGTAAGCTCTTCATTGCAGAGTGCAGTTCTTTTCTTTTTTTTCGCATGACGTCCTCCACATGTTTCTGGACTCTTTTGCAATATGGAAAATGGTGAGCTCTGTCTCTAATAATCCAACTGACATTGAATTGAGCATGAGCAGTGAAGCAAGCTATATGCAGAGCAGATCTTTCCCCCCCTCAGCAGATATTTTCCGTGTTTCAATCAGCGTACAACATGAAGCCGGAGAAGGTGCTGTACTTGTTGTTGTTGCCCCCGTGCGCCTTTCCGCCGTCCAGCTTGATGTAAATCTCGTCCCCGGGCTCGAGGTGGAGGACAACACTGTTGCTGGCGTAGTCGTAGTTCTGATCGGCGTCCTGGGCGATGGCACTGGCTCTCACCTGGAAGGCAAATTTGACATTTTTTACTCGAAACGATGAAAAGCGTCTTTATTTTGAAATCAGAACCGGGGACATCAGTGAGGACACTGTCATTTTCATTTCGAACTTAAAACAGCCCTCAGACAACATCACTGTTTATTTGTTTGTCTTTAAATTTCCAAGTAGCTAATGTATTTTTGGAGTGTCTGTTTGGGTACTACCGTGCGTAAAACGTGTGCGTAAAACTGCGAAAGTAAGAAGGTGTCCATCAAATTTCACTGTATATTGTAAACAACTGAAGAGTAAAGCTGAAACAAATCTAAAGACTGTTGAACAGTTACATCATGAAGCGTCCTACCTGGCTGTTTTTACAGAGATCGGCCCACATGCTGGTTCCATCTCCGCCTCGCATCAGCACATGGTATACAAAGAAGTAAATCCCCGGTATTGAGCAGGTGAATTTCCCTGAAGAGGGATCATAGTGGTTGCCAAGATTTGTGACTACGTCGTCGAATTTCAGCACTTCATATCCCTCATGCTGCTTCTTCAGTCCTGCATAAAACGCAATCTTTGGGATTGTGTTGTAAGTGGCAGCGCTGATTGCACCGGTGGGCCCATTTGCTCCGGGTGCTCCCGGTGGACCCGGAGGGCCAGGCGCCCCTTTCTCTCCAGGAGGGCCAGGAGGTCCAGGTTGCCCTGGCTCGCCACCCGGACCCCTCGGACCCATCCTCCCGACGCGCCCCGGCTCTCCTTGGGGACCTTGGATGAACGTAGGCAGCGACTGAACCAGACGGTTGTCTTTGATGGGGTTGGTTGCCTTGGCTGTGGCCGTGGCCGCGGTCCCGTGAGAGTCGCACACCATTTGACAGGATCCGAGCATCTCGTACCGGGCAGGTGTCCCGGCGGTGTTTACCATGACCGGGATCAGAACCACCAACACCAGCACCAGCGCGACGCCACAAACACCGGTTGCGATCATCTGCGCTCTGCGGATTCGCTGTGTTCTCCGGAGTGGATGGTCTTCCAGCCTGCTTGTGGGCGATATTTTTGCAGAGGGAAAAATTTCACCTGCTCTCGTATTATACAGCAACTTTTGGAGATAAAATAGTCCCTTAAATGTTTATGCGCAAAAGTAACCATCCACAACTTTTACGCGCTGCAGCATCCGTTCAACTGGTTCATCTCCACCTTCTCACTGGAAGAAAAAAAACACAACAAAAGACTTCCTGAGAGTAAAAACTACACAATCTGCGTTATGTGGTTGTGCAGGACAAAGTCAGCTGCGCAATTTTCTGCCCACCACGGTGCCACAGGAGAGAATGGGCTAGAAATGAGCCGTAAGCCGCTTCTGTGTTTGGAGACTGAGGGGAGGGGTAGAGGTGATGGATGGGATAGGATTTATGCATTTCTTCAATCAGAGGAGAGAAAGTGGAACACATACAAACACTGGTGCAACTTTGAGGCTCTGAAACGTGACTACTTTATTTTATTTGTTTGTATCAAATCATTGTTTTAACGCAGTGTGCATTACTTTTTCTATTGATGACTGTGACGTTACATCCCACAACACGTTGCCAGAACTTATCCAAACAGCTCTAAAGGTCTTAAGCATAATTAGGCCCATTAAAGACAAGAAGCTATACTCCTTTGGCACCTGGTCACACCTCAGTGGCTCCCCGTGTCCAATTTATCATTTGGAGAAAATCTATAGAGCCACTGAAAGGAAGGAGGGAGTCACTAGGAGCTGGCAATGAAGGATGGCTTCACACAAATATACGGATTAAATGACTTCTTAATTCATTTAGGAAAATATGGTGAGATCACTTAATAATCACTCATTAATTACCACTGGTAAGCAGTTGTGACTTAAAAAACAAAAGTGTTGGTTGTAATATAAAAAGTGTTGAGTTTAACACAATTTTCACTTATTTATGAGCCAAACAGTGAATATAGATTTCCAAGCTTTAAAACAAAATGTCCAGACAAAACTTCAGTAAGGTTTGAGTGATGAAGGGCTAATTCTTGGTGAGGAGGGCAGATGATGATGTGCTCATGAATGCAGGGGCTGTCACTCTGTGTCGATGGCACCTCACTGCCAGGTGGAGAGATAGATGAACAAGAAGGAAAAACACCTTGTTTGTTTGGGAGGAGGGAGGCTTTGATTGCAGCCCGAATGAGATTCAATGGAAGTCACAAATGCAACAGCGCGATTGTGGAATCATGATCTCAAAAAAGTGCCATTGAGACTCTTTATATAGTTAAAAGAGCTGTAAAAATTAACAAATAGCTGCATTGTTTTACAAATAAAAGAGTCTGCCACAAGAAATTGCTATCAGATGTGTATATGTGATATGTTAATGTGTCGTTTAAGTAAGACACACTCAATTTGGGGCTCTATTTAGAGAACCCTCGCTGCCTTTAAGCATCTCATCCGGCCACTAATGCACTCAACAAGTTTAGACACTTTTATTCTTTTAGACGTTTATCCTATTTCAAAAAGACAATATTAATGGTACAGACAATAATGACAAAGAGAGAAAGTTGTACAGTATACGGCAAATAATTACAGAAAACCAATGCATGAACAAAAAAGAAAGAAAACACCTATATGTCAGAAAGGATATTTAAAGTAAATTGGTTTCTCAGTTTGAGGATACATCATGGTCCTTCTCGATCCACCGTATTAAAGAGGAAAGACAAGCAGCCGTACAAGCTACCACTGATGTAAATGGTATAGCATTCGACTAAAGTAATGTCCTGTTGAAGGTATAATATTGTTATGAATGGATTTGGATCTATTGTATTGTTTCCAATATTGAGGTCTAGAACTTATTTAAAGAGATGCATAATCGGAACAGATGGCCCATTGTAGCTGGTCACTGCTGACATCATAAGTGGGATATATTTTGGCCCATTTCTCTCCAGTAAAATAAGAGACACTGAGCCATTTTAACTAGCAGTCATATACAAATAGATGAATGTGATTAATTACAATACCACAAGCGGCGTCAGTAGGAGTCATGTCAAGGCCTCTTTCCCATCCAACTTATGTATTTGTCATTGTTAGAAAATAGATTAGGGTTAAATAATATCATATAACCTTGAGATATAATGTTTAAAAGCTGCAATAATCAATGATATTTTATTAAGAATGTAACGTGTTAGGTGAAAGTTGTTGTTTGTAGTGATGAGCCCAACAAGAATTATCGCAGACTATAGGCTACATTTTCTCTCTTCCGCTCTATGAAGCGCTTTAGCATCTTTCAGCTTATTTTTTTGTTTCATGGTCCAAAACCTTGATGTTTTTGGTTCAATCTTATCACTCATTAGTGTTGTTTTTAGATGCAAATGTTTGCTCTACACTACCACCTGCCCAGCACCAAAGTTACCTGCAGACAATAGTTAATGTAACTAGCTTAGTAAATCACTTAGCTCTAGTGAAATATTTCCCTCAAGACAGAAGCTAAAATAAGAGTAAAGTCATTTAGCAGAAACAGATACATGGCTCCAAATGAATGCTGATGTTTTTCTGTGTCTTTTAGGTGTGTAAAGCAATTGTTATTAGCAATTAGCAACACCATTGCTAAGACCATTTTTCAATTCAAGTTTGGTTGTTTTTGCAGTATGAGTGTCAAACATAAAAGGTCATAAAAGGTTGATCTTATACAACTGTGAAGATGCCATTCATTTGACCCCAATTAAAAGGGTCAACAACAATATCTCAACATCTATTGGATAAAACGGCATGAAATTTCTTTCAGAAATCCACCAGACAATGTATCCTCTTGTCTCTGGTGATCTTTTGACTTTTCCTCTGGCGGCATCATGATGTTTGCAGTTTTGGATAGATTGCCGTGACATTTCGTACACAGTCATGTCTCCCAAGGAGTTTTATATATATATATATATATATATATATTATAACTTTGTTGATCCCTTAACTCTTTATCTAGCGCCATCATCAGGTCAGATTTATAACGTGTCCTTAAGTTAAGAACCATATACCTGCAACATTACTCCCATCAGCCTGAGCCGTACTTTATGTTTAGTGCTAATTAGCAAAACACTTAAATAAGATGGTGAACATCGTAAACAGTAAACCTGCTGAACATCAACTTGTTAGCATTGCCATTGTTAGCATGTTAGCCTCATGGAAGCATGATGAGCATTTAGCCTTTATATGAGGGTTGTTACAATTAAAGTTTCAGGATAATAAAACCAGAGGTAATGGACATAATATTAAATGACCTTCAGAGCACAGAACAGATTTAAAGTGTGTAAAAAACAGAATAATAGGGATCTTAATGGATAATATTTTTAGTGCAGTCAAATTGCAACAAATTATGAAAAATTGAACAATACATCAATGGATGCCAATAATTGAGACAGGAAATTTCAGAGTAAAATTCCTTTTTACAATTCCCCCTTAAAAAGAAGAAAAACTCAAAACCGCTTTACTGGTTGCGATATTTCCTCTTAGTATTTCCTGGTTTCATTTTGTTTTATTTTATTCACGCATCATTCTTACAGCTGAGTTTGGGAGGGCACTGCATGTGAGCTAAAATACATGATCATTTCTAAAAGAGCACACATTTTATGTGGGATGGGTGCAAAGTGAGAAATAGAATAGTATATAATAGAATAGTATATGAAGACACACGCACACACACACACACACACAGAAACACAGTGGGACATACTGTGGCGGCTATGAGTCAGTGAGCACTTGTTAGTGGTCAGGCTCTTTCCCTCCAGTTGGCACGAGCCTCCAGTGACTCAGGGAGACTTGTCGACCAGGAGCCAGAGTGAACAGCAGTGTCAAAATCCACCAAAAGCTGTGGGAAGAAGACGCAACTTGTATTAGAAAGCTTTTCACAGTATCACACCAACTGAATCAGAGTGCACACTTTTAATTTCTGTTTAAAAAAAATAAACAAATAAAAAAACCCTCACGTGTCCAAAGTTGACATTCATCACTCATTTCCAGCACAAGATCTCAGCTACTCAGCTCACCTCCGCTGATGTATTGAAAGATTCCTCTGGTGGTGGAGAGCCCTGACAGGTTGTTTTGAGTCTCGACTTTGGAGTTCATTTACAACCAGTCGGGCAGGAGTCCTGTGGGAGCCTGATGATTTTTGACATCCGGACAAGCAGATGTTCAGAGGACATGAATAAAACATACAGCCCATCTGACCACAGACCGGAGGCTTTTTCCGAGTGTCTAATGAAATATGAGGCGTGATTTCAATTCACATAAAAAAGAAAAATCCCGTTGTCAGATAACTGGGATGCTGCATGAAATATGTATGGCATTTATGTAGCCTGACCTGGGTGGCTAAGCAGGGTTCATTTGCGGTTATGACAATCAAAGCTGAGACAGGTTCGTCAAAGACTCTACGCAGTGAATGAGAAGGAAACTGAATGGGCTTCTCATTACCAGCCAGGAATATAAACAGAAATATTATGTGACCATTGACACCCAAGTGTTTATCAACTGATAACACACCATGTGTGCCAGGCAGTGATAAGATGCATGTCCCTCTGTACTTTTTCACACCTTCTGCTCTTTCAAAATTTGAGTGTTTATTTTCTTTTCCACAGAAAAGGCTGGGCTCAACAGTTCAGCTCAGCAGGGTGGAGGGGGGGAAACAGAATGCGTTACCACACCACCCACTCAAAGCTGGTCCTGTACTGTATTTAAGATGGAGAAGCAATCACAATCATCCAGGGTGGGACTTAAGTTTCATACTGGAGAACGGGGTTTTCATTCAAGTGAAAATCAAGGTGTGATTGGTGATTGTTTCGTTTGATTGTATTATTTGCTACCAGCTGACAGGCAAACAATTACTTTAAAATTTTTATTTTATTTATGTGCATGTCCTTGTGTCAGTGTGACACTTTTCATTCTTCATTAACAGTGTGGGAGGGAGGGTTCTCATTTTGTTCTTGTGTGGACTTCAAACAATTCACTTGATTCTT